TGCAAATTTAAGTGGTAGTTATTTAAAACAGAATTGGGAGCAGAGCCATCTTTTCAATAGAATCCCGTATATTCTTGAAAAAGAAGTACAACAAATAATTTTATGCTATGAAATATTCCATCGAGAATTGCAACTTTTTTATTACGAAATAAAAAATTTCGATTTTCGGAGAGGCGGGAGACAAAAATTTTGGCGAGAATTTAAATATTAGTAGCTTTTTTTCCGTTCAATTTTTTTTGATCATTTTTCATTATATGTTTAAGTGTTATGTATTAATGGCTATCAAATATAAACAAAATTATAAAAGTTATAATAGAGATTAATGCCTTATTTAACAACAAACCAAATCCTAATTGGTTAATAGTCTCATAAACATGAGATTAATGATATTGTTAATAGCGAAACTGACATTTATGTTTTTTTCTATCCAATATTTTAACATCATTAAATAATTCTTTATTTTTGTGATATGAAATTTTTTGCACGAGATAATTCCAAATGGATCGATAAAGTTTTTAGATTAATGTGATCTATTGTTGAATCTGTTTGCAGTTCTATCAATTACAGTATTTCTATACATTTTCATATAACTAATTATGCATTTTGTAGCAAAGAAAAGTTTTATGAATAATTAAAAAATTTAAAGAAGAGGGAAAAAATATCGACTTATTGATAAATACATTCATATTTCCAAAAAAAAAAGAAAAAAATTTTAGTTTCAATTTTTTTGCATATATAAAAATAAGATTTAATTTCTATAAGAAATTTAAACTACAAAAAATGTCCTGTTATTGTCAAAATACACAATTTTGTTACATTTATTTGATAAAAATAATCATAATTTTTTAATTTGTAGGCATAAAATACACCATAAATGTTTCATTTTGAATATTGACAATGATAATTTATATAGATAAAGTATCGGTGAGTGATTAAAAAAAAAAAACGAAAACACTTCAATTACATTAATTGAATCGCTTATTAACAATGCTATATGTCAGAATGAAGCTGCAATTGCATTTGTCTTCCAACTAGCGCTTGTAATGTTGCTGTGAACAATATCGATGGATCGATTAAACAAATATTGAAATTGAATAAATGAAATATTGAATATGCAAGCATATATGAGTATTTATCGATCAGCAATGCAATTTACTTCCTATTATTTCCTCCTTCTACTGATTGCATGCAATTTAATAATGGATAACGGGTATGTATTATCAGTGAATATGATTGTATAATTTTATTCGAATTACAATCTTCTCGTGTAAATGAATAAGGCATTAAGATTGTTTTTATACAATGCAAAAAAACATATTTTGTTTCAAGTTTTATTTAAATTTATTGGGTAAACTTTTTTTTTGGGGGTAAAATTTATTCTTTTCTTTAAAAAAAAAGAATGTACATAAGTAAAATTACAAAAAACTGCAATATTTTAACATTTGATAAATTTCATTTAGTATTTAAAATGTTTCGACTGGATTATCTTTCTATAATTTGGTGAAAAATTTGACAATAGCTTTTGATTTGCAGTAAAATTTTTTATTTGAATGTTAATTTTTAAGTTTTTTTTTTCTTTTCTTCCAAATAAACCATTTTTAATTTGCCTATAATAGTTCAGTGCTGTCATTTAAAACACTGGAATTTACATGTAATAGATTAATTTGTTACGTATTAATTTGTTTTGGCTACAATTTATCCTTTTTCAGACAGTCTCTGCTACCAGAAGTCAGGTTAATACTTATTGTATTCAAAATTTTTGAATAAACATAATGATTTATAAGTTGAAAAATAATTTATCAATCGATATTTATCCATTTACGATCCATACAATTATTGTATCAGGTGACAATTGTATTCGTTTCATACTCTATAACGACAGTGCTTTTTTTTTTTTCTTTTTTTAATATTGCTTTCATGGAAAATATTATTCATATAAGATATAAACTTCACATTTAGTCCAGTTTGAGTAAAATTTAAAATTAGGCAAATTAACTTCACATATTTAGGAATCTTTCCGGAGATAAAGCAACTATTGGTAATAATGAAACAAATGAAGATGTCTTACGATTAATTACTATTCCTATACTGAATGGATATGCGATACGTAAAGTGAAAGCGTTTAACGATCGGATTTATCTTCCGCGATATGGACGTAATTACTGGCTGGGAACAAAATATTACCATATGGTATTATTGTATTTGGTTTTCAAAAAATTTCATATTTTCAACAATGAAACATTTTTCCTTATATCTGAGAAATAACTATATTCTTTCCATACAGTATTTTATTTTAGGATAATTTCAATTATTTACCAACACGTGATACCTGTTTGTATCGTATGGATTCAAATGAACGAAAAAATTTGGAATACGTAGATGGATCTCCCATATATGATATTATTTATCAGTAAGAATTTATAAAATTTATATCATAATTTAATATTATGGTTAAAAGAATAAAATAAAAATTTTTACTGAAAATTATTCTAATTTATAGCGGATAATTGATTCACTGAAGAATATTCTTGTTTATCCTTAGTTTGAAAATTTTAAATATAGAATTAAATTTATTTAGATGTCAACGATATGTTCAATATTGTTGCGGATTAACTTGCTGTTTGAATGAATTCAGCAAAACTTAACATGAGTGAAGTTTTCGATTCACGGAATACATCGTTAACTTTTCAAAATCAGTTGCATATTTTTTTATTTCTACTTCTTGCACTTCTTTACTTACATATTTAAGATAAAGAGTTCGACGTAATAATCAAAAAAAAAAAAACTTTCCTAAATCTTTGATCTCAATTTTCCAGAAAAACCTGAAATTTCTGAAAAATTGAGGAATTGAAATTTAACCTTAAAACATTTACTTTGCTAATGGATATGCAGTCGGCATAAAAGCATGAAAAAAAGAAATGCATTCAATTACAGATTTCCAATTTTCTCCTTCTTTATTAATTATGAGGAAAAATGGCAGTTTCAAATAAACTTCCCAGACAATTTAATGCTTAATAAATAGGTCCTAGGATTTTCGTAAGAATAAAGTAATTTTTTATATTTTGATATTTTTATTCCTATAATTGTTATGTATTTCTTTTGCATGAATTGCTATGTAATTCCATTTTCAAAATTCAATTTTAATCCAGTCATTTGCATTAAAAATTTAACTCTCTGATATATGCGTTATGCGATTGCACGGAGGTTTAATAATGTATCGATAATGTTGTAAGTTGATTTAAAGGACTGTTTCAAATTCAAGTTTTCAAAGATTAAGAAACTATCATGTATATATGGATATTAGAAATATCTAATAATTAAAATTTTTAATGATAACAAGCAACTTTTGAATTTAAACAATTTATTTCTTTGCCAGTTATGTCACAATTTCTGTGGGCAGAAGAAATATCTTTTATTTACATTCTCTATTCTTTTGCTATGTGCTTGTGTATTAATTACTAATATTAACAAAGAATCTAAACAAAAATAATTTAAGCAGTCGAAAGTTATAATAAACGTACTTGGAATTTGGGAATCTTTAAGCTCCTCTTAAGACTAAAAATAATAACATTGTTATTTGAAAGTAATAGTAATTAAATTACAAAATTTAGTTTATGAATTTACAAAATAAAAATTTGAATTTCAGTCACATCAACCGAAAAGCAGATGCCATAATTAAATTCAAAAACAAATCTTTATAGATGTAAATGATGAAATAATGAAATTTGTCGTCAAAATTAGGTCTGATAGTCGTAAAATCTTTGTATTGTTTATTTTATTTCTGAAACAAATTTATTAAATAATAGTAGCCCTTATACTCTACAATAAACTCAAGTGCACAGAACTTACACTGAATTATTAGTTCGGATAGTACTATCAAATTTTGAATGTTATCTGAAGTAATAATATTTTCCCATTCATTTTTGCTGCATGCATCACTCTTATGGATGATAAATGGAGCAAATTAGCGGAAAGGAGGCACAAAGTGAACGAATTAATTTGAAACTTTAAAGCTTCTGTGATATCAAAGAACTAGATTTCAGATACTGGTTGTTTTCTTAGTGAGAGGATGAAGGTGATGTTATCAAAAATAGAATTACGACAAAATGAAATGTGTACGAATAGAAATGAAAGAGAGAAGAAGGTGAACGAAGAAAAGGAGGAATATATTTGATACAATCCGTCTTTGTTTATGGGTGGTTTTAAAAAAGTAGGCCATTGTTTGTGACCTAAATGATTTTAAAGTTGATTGAAAATCGTAGTTGATTAATGCCTGTTTTGTCTTGCCTTGTCGGTTATGTACCGGCAGATAATCAGTAAACTTATCTTATTCAACGTTATTATATGCTTGGTATACTCTAAAGGTATCTTTGTCTTTTTTTTTAAACAAAATATTCAAATTAAATAAGACAATTTGGCACCAATAATTTCATTTTTATCAGTTTTAACAAATCAAATTTGACATACCTTTGTCAATTTGGTTATAAAAAGTATGCAATGTTTTGAAGCCAATAATATTTGGATATGTTCTACCTTTTTATTTTATTGGAATAAAGGGACATTTTAACTTAATTGGAAATGTTTATTAAATATACTTATGATTTTTCATCTGAGATTATTTACGACAAGTTCTTAACTTTTAATAATTACTTGCTCGTCATCTCTACCAGCGTTTGTAACATTTCGTTATTCTTCCTGAATAAAGGGATAGACTTTTGCAATCCATAAGATTATCTTCTGATTTCTTCATCACAGAAACGGAATCATCGTGAAGGATGTCCCAGATGTACTCGATTTCGGGACATCTAAAACTGTGTCAAAAAGAAAAATTAATGCAAAAATGGCTCCTAAATTTTGAATTCTTAGAATTAAATTTCTTTGCTCAATTTGGGAAATTCATCAATGAAATCCATAATTCTAAATAAAATTCTGCAAAGCTCTATGCTCTTTTAACCTTCTCTTGAAGCAAAAAAAAAAAACCATTCGAAGCTTACATTACAATGCCGAAACACATTTCAATACTTGAAAATTCTATTGAAGTCATTCTAACTGCAGAATATGCCAAATTATACTGTCCGAATTCCCAATCGCCTGAAGTGGACAATAATGGTGCCATAAAGCAATGTTTGCCAGGTTGATTTCTATGTTTTTATTTAATTTCGCGAAATCGCTGTTATATTCGTTGCTAATTATTTTAACTGTTTCTACCAATTCTAATACCTCATTTTTCTTTTATAGTTAAAACCATTTGAAATCAGAAATTTTGACTAAATTGCTCGAAATTTCGATATCGCAGTCGATTTAATAATTCATGCAATATTTCAGGACGCGAAGAATTATGTGGACCAGGATATTCCTGCTATTTTTCGGGAACAAATTATCAATGTTGTCCAACTGAGGAAGAAATTAATTTGGATTCCATTCTTGAATGCCCCTCACCTAGTATTACAATACTTACAGATGCTGGCTTACCCCTCATTTGCACTCCCAGTCTTCACGACTGCCCACAGGTGCTTCCTATGAGCCATATCATGAGAGATCTGTGTTAAGCCTAAATTACTCACTTACGGATCATTTTTTTTTATTCTTCATGAGAATCCTACTACTTTAAATTCTCCACTTCCTTCACTATCTATTTGAAAATTAGTTTTTAACACTAAACTATATTTGCACATATTGAAATCTAATTAGTAAATTGGGAAATTGATTTTTAGAGTTCTATGCAATGTCTTAACGTCGGGAAGCATTCAATATGTTGTGAAGGATTAGCATCCATCAACGAAGAATCTCATCATGCTCTTTTATCAAGGGAATTAAATTCTCCGGATGAGACAATTCTGTCAACTGCATTGAGTAACGAACTTTTCAATGTGCCAAATTTAGAATGCCCGGAACCTGCCTTCACCATACTTGATGGCAATGGAGATCCGGTATCATGCAGTGAGGAAGACTGTGCTCATCAAGTAATGTCTTTGTAACATTTGAAAGAAATTTAAAAAAATAAAAATCGATATATGTCTGACACAGCTCTGTATAATCTTCCTCACAAGCAGTAGCTATCGTTGTGTCATGGAGAACCGTAATGCACAAATTAAAACAATTAAAAGCCTAGAATAAGTCAAAGAATTCATTCATATGTTCAAAATTGGCATTTCATTAACATTAAAAATGGATACCATAAAGATAAACCTCGATAGATTGATATCACGCAAAGTATTCACTTATACTGTATAATTCACGCCAAAATATATTCTGTTCTATTTTTAATTTTCATAACTTTGCTTCAGGCAGGACGTTTTTGCTACAAACCGCAGAATACACCAATATGCTGTGAAGGTGAAGAAAGGACAATTGATGATGATGCTCTGATTAAGAAAATCTTACACGGAAATAAGCACCAGAAAGAAGGAAACATCGGATGGAGTGTGCTAAAATATACACCATTAACAACCGCTCAGCGTCAGCTGCAGCAGAATAAGCAATCACAACAAAACGACAATCGTTTAGGATTTGACGGATCAAATGTCGTTAGATCATTAATTCTCGATGGAAGCGCTTCTGAAGTAGTTACTTCGTTCAAGTTTATATGAATTCAGTGATATATCCTTTTCCTTTTTTCATTCACACATAAATGGTAACCAATTCATACACTGTATAATTCATCCTACAAGACAAATATTTTTAAATTCAATAACACAGAATATTGATATTTCCAACTTTTGCAAATTGTGCACAATTGGAGATTACAAATATGCTGTAAAACATTCTAAACGAAATGAAAGAAAAAAAATTGTTCATTGACAAATTTGCAATGCGAAAGTTTTATAGGCAAACCAAACTAATTTGGAGTCAAATACGAATGGATTAGTGAGGAATACTGGAGATCAACAATCAACTGTACTTGCTAATGCGCAGACATTACAGACGACTACTACTACTTCGACTACAACTACAACCACAACTACAGCAATAAGTACTACCACAACAACAACAACAGTAATCACTTCAACAACACCAGAATCAAATGTGAGTTATATTTAAAGTAAATAAATGAATTTCTTTTGACAGTTTTAGCTTGTCTTTAGTGAAATGAAAATATTTGTCATGTTAGAAGTTGCTTTATAACGAAAATGCTGCAAGGATGAATAATACATATTCATATTAAGTTGCTAGAAAATGGCATCATAGAGATCATCAACAAATGAAGTGGAGATATTTTTAACAAGGACAAACATTACCAATGGAAGTTCAACTCCTTCCACATTTTTGTAGAAAAAAATTTAGCATCAAAGCTTGCCAACGTTACCTGGAGAACCCCAGGAAGATAAAATTGAAACAATTCGATATAAGCCGCACAATGCCGGAGGATATGCTATTTCACAAGCATTTTCATCAAAAGTTCGTCGCGCACCAAATGATTTGCGGGCTTTGGCACGAGAATATCTTCTCGAACATATCCGACGTGGATGGCCTTATAGTGATGGATTTTACAGAACTCACGGTAAGCTTTATACAATTCGAATTTGTAAGAATTTAGAAAAAAAATTTGGACAGATTCCTTTTGCTGTGCTCCTTGCATTTTATTTAATACTGAGTTTGCAAGGAAAAAGCATTAGAGTCTCAGGACTCATATGCAAGGGTAAACTTTTTTTTTTAAAAAAAAACTATCAGACCAGGTACTGCAAGTGCTGGGAGAACCACCAAAAAAAGTAAGTAAAATATCCATTCTTACAATAGCCTTCGATTGACTGATTCAGTACTTTTAAATAAATCAATATTGCAAAAGTGGTATGCAATTGAAAAAATCTCACACCATAAAAATGTATATTTGCAGCAGAATTTGAATCTCAGCCTGGCCAAGAAAATGAAATTATCTTCCATAAACAAACTTGAAGAGTGGTTGACACTTATCATTATTTTGTCACAGTTGTTTTATAGTTTGTTGTAATAAATTTTATTCCTTCCTTTGTCTCAGTACTTCAGCAATAGTAAAAAAAAAACCTTTCTATCAGAACGAATCCCAAGATATGTCATGGATCAGCATGTGGCTAGGGTTTTGAAGAATTAAAAAACTATCGTAAGCAAAATCACCGGCGATTTTTAAATAATAGTAAAAGTTATTTACAGTCTATCGTGTATCGTCTTAAATGATTTAATATCGAGATTAGTGGATATACAAATTTGGGAACAAATAACAATGTGCTTTTATGTTTTCATATATTATCATTTTCAAAGCTAGAAGACAAGCAGTGATCTTGTCAATACGATCAATTTGATTTGACGAATCAAATGTCGTTCAAATTGATCGTATTGACAAGATCACATGGTAGGAATTCATCACTGCATGAAAATCCATGTTTACTTCCTTTCCAATAATGTTCAACATTTAACGCCTGAACGTGTTTGGAAGTTGAGGATGCAAAAGCACTGCAGATATTTATGTATTTTAAGCAAAACACTGCAAAGAATCAAAAAGCAAATCCAAAAATAACCTGAATCTTTGAATGCTTCACTAGCAGAAAAATCGGTTCACATCTACATCCTCCAAGATTTGGCTGTTATGCCACCGTCAAGAGCTGAATACAATATCTGCATGAACATCACTATTCTTTTGCATTAAATAACTGCTCCATGATTCATCGTGTGAACCAGAAAATAATTGACGCTCAAACTAAATGCTGTCCTGGCAGAATGATTCAATCTAATTTCAAATATGCGGAAAGCAATGTGATAATGATGGAATGTATGGAAATCAAGTCTTAATCCACTGTATTATTCCATCCCATTTAATATAAATTAATCATTCTATTAGTGTCTGTTTCTCTTAACATCTCGAATATCATTTAACCATCTATCATGTCAACTATTTACTACTAACAAACTGTAATTTTTTTCTCAGTCAATACCACGGGTTAGACGTTCCCATTTATGTATCATAAGCCAAGCAAGTTTTTTTTTACTACGACAGTTTTCAATTTATTCCATAGCCAAGCTTAAACACATTCTGAATGAAATTAATGTGGACACGTGTAGCCGCAGAGAAACGTCTACCCCCGTTGCCACGAAAGACGTTAATACCCCTTAAGGAAAACGTAAATCCGGAAGACCCCGATACGTCCACCATTGTCCACCATGCAACGGTCATAATGCAACAGCACGTCACAAACTATTTTAGCCATTCGTTAAGCTGTTTGACTCGTATCGTGCTTACTCGCAAGTTTTGTAAGTGTAATGATGTTTTTTTTTTTCTTAAAGCTATCCGTCACGACTACTCTATTGATGTAGTCGTTGTGGAAGTTTCATTTCCTGAAAACATGTATGCGAAACGTTTTGTAAAGATGAGATTATACACCATGCAAGTATCACTTACAAAACATTTATGTTCCGTTCCATTTCTTTCTATTTCTTCCTTTTATTTTATCGTTTCCGTCTACGAAAGTTTTAACGTATCATGTAAATTCAACCCATTTTTATATAATGCGTGCTGAACTATCTATGATATGGTATGCTCAAAGAATTTAAATTAATTATATTTGCTTCGAAATGGTATCACATGTTTACATCATAATATTGCCAAAAATTTTCGCTGATTTTATTCTAGAATTGGGTACAAGAAGTTCGAAGCATCAAATAATGGGTAATTCTGGGAGCAAAATTAATTTTCGCAAAGCAGTAATCGAGCTTACAACGAAAAAATCAAAGGTGGAAGAAGATGCATTTTGGGAAGAGTTATGGGCTTCCAATATAAACAGTGCTGCAGATGTTTTTGCATTGATCACAGCAGATGATGTTAGTTTGATTATTTCTAAAATTATTTGATTATTAAAGATTGGCGGTAATTTCTAGTAATTATGTATTTGAATAAGTCTTCCAGAAAAGATTTGATCACTATGATGAGAGAAATTAGATGATGTATTTCTCCAAAATAAATCTTTAATTGTCCTGATTTGAGGATATTTTCAGGTCCGTTCATTGCGTGATAATTCTCCAAACAATCTGGCAACCCTGTGTTATAAAACTGTGGATCGAATAACGGTAGCCTGTAACTCCCCATCAACCATATCATCAACAAAAGTATTTTAGATCACTTTGTTTGTTCTTAAATTTGATCAGAAAATAAAGTCATCTATCACTACGTAATAATTTTGGATCCTTTAAGTATTCTAAGTGGTTACCCTAAAGATTTCTTTACTTTTTATGGCTTTATGAAGTTCACTGAAAATTTCGGCCAAGTCAAATTTATGCTGCCGATCCGAATTATAAAAAAGTTTGGACTTAATTATGAAGTTTTTTGTTCCGAGAGTACAAAATCTGTTACTAGGTGCTGAATTGTATACGACTTCTAACAAGAATTTGTCCATATATATTCGAAGATTCGGATTGGAAAAGTTTTTTTTGGTCATTACCACCGGCAGAAGAAAACGAGCAGTTTCCCCATCAGCCATTAGCATGCACACTGATATCTGCGCTTACCGATCTACTCTTTTGTCCCGAATTCACTGTTTCATCTCGAAGAAGCCATCCGGTACTTTGCATAATAAATATTTTTAATGAAAAAAATCACCAAATATAATGACCATGAAGGATTTGTTTATCCTTCACTATCATGTAAGAATATTTAAGCCAGCATTGATTTTTTTGGTAGTTTCACAAACTATTTTGTGTTTATTCCCACATTTTGATGGCAAAATTAACAAATATGAAATCGAGAAATTGAAACTGCATCACTGACATCGTTTTAATTTTTCAGGAAGGCTCAGACGATTTAGGTGCTATTGACAGCTGCGAATATATATGGGAGGCTGGTGTTGGTTTTGCGACAAAACCACCGCAAACAGCAGAGCATGATCAGCGACGGACCGAAATTCTCAAGCTTTTACTAACATGCTTTTCAGAAGTCATTTATGTTCCAGTTATTGGTGAGGTTTAAGTCAGAACTGTTTGATTCGATGAACTTGGTACTACACAGTTATAATGAATAGAAGGATGTATTTGTTGTCACCATTCAACTTCAGAAATTATCAAGTTTGTCGAAGTTACAACTAATAATATATCGAAGGCTTCTAAAGCAGACTTGAATTACTGTCTTAATTTCAGATGAAAACAGGATGAGATGGATAGCGAGATTTACATCTGCAGAAAATCGTCATGTTCTACCGCTTTTTACTTCCCTGCTTAACGTAGTTTGTGCATATGATCCGATCGGTTATGGCGTACCTTATAATTATTTATTGTTTACGGACAGCAGAGAACCGCTTATGCAGATTGCATTACAAGTGCTTATTGTGTGCCTGGATAGTGAAGCACAATCATCCGATAAGGTAAATAAATGTCTCTTTGAAAATTTTTGAAAGTTAACAGTTCAAAACACAGTTTGTATACAGGAACTAATTTCAGAAAAACGAGTATGCTGACAATTTTTTCATTAATTATTTATCAAGGATTCATCGCGAGGAAGATTTTGAATTCATGTTGAAAGGCATGACTCGCTTATTGACAAATCCATTAGTTGCAACCTACCTGCCGGGTTCTACTAAAAAAATAACATGCCATCAGGAGCTCCTCGTTTTGCTCTGGAAATGCTGTGAATACAATCAGGTAATTATTTTTGTCTTTCTTTCTCTGACAAATATGGGAATCATAATTTTATGCACACGTTCATAATTCTACATCAGTATTTTGAAGACACGGGTTTTCAGAAATTCATGTTTTATTTATTGAAAACAAGTGATGTTCTGGAAGTGCTTGTTCCGATATTATTTCACATTAGCGCTTCTCGCAATGATCCAGGTATAAAAAAATGGAATATTTCTGAAATTAATTATTATGTTAAAGCTTTTGGAGAAGCAATTAGATACATCTCTTATATTTTTACTAAACATGGTTTGCAGCTCGTGTTGGTTTGATACATATGGGTGTTTTCATTATTCTATTGTTAAGTGGTGAACGAAACTTTGGTGTACGTTTAAATAAACCATACACTCCACGAGCAGCTATCGACGTGCAATCATTTACTGGAACGCATGCAGATTTGCTTATTCTTGTATGTTATTAGGGTTTATAAATCACTTCCACCCTCACTTGCAGTAACTTGGACTACCGATTTTTTCCCGTTACAAGAGTCATATTAATACAGGGTCTTCTGTTCTTCAGTACACCATTTCAATAATATCAAAGTGTTACTGCATATGCATATATAAAGATGCATGCAGACAGGTTGCAAACTGTACAAATATCCAGTATATTTATATGAAAAGTGGGCTGTTGCAGGTGTTCCACAAGTTGATAACCACGGGCAATCACCGATTACAGTCACTTTTCGATTGCCTTTTAACAATTATTGTAAACGGTTTGTTTTCTAATACATTGTTAAACGAGTATTTAAAATAATAATAAATGTGATAAATATCGGAACAATGAAATAATGAATAAGGTAATCGAGATAATAAAGTGATGATTGATATAATGAGGTAGATGACAAGTCTCTTGCAGTTTGCGTAAATTATGAGTTGCATGGATCAGCTCTACTTACTATTTTGTTTAATGTATCGAGTATTCTATTATTTACTGATGACAGAATCTGAACACATTATGGAGCCTGAACTTTAACGTTTCAGCCTCCTAGCTGTTTGCTTTGCTTAGCTTTTTGCTAGGTTGCAAAGTTCTCATTAGTAATGAAGTTTTAATAGCTATGTTTTTTGCAGTGTCACCATATTTGAAGTCTATTTCGATGGTTGCAGCTAATAAGCTTATTCATCTTATTGAGGCTTTTTCAACTCCCTGGTTTTTGTTTTCATCACCGACGAATCATCTTCTTATCTTTTTCCTTCTTGAAGTTCTCAATAATATTATTCAATACCAGTTCGATGGTACTGTTTAAATATAACTTTTCTTCATTCTGAAGGTTTTGTTTATAAATAGTGCAAGAATTTTGCTGCTGACAAAACTCTTCTTACGTGTGATAGGTTTCGGAAACATTTTGATCAAATCAATAAGAATGCTGCGTCTGTTAGTAGCATACACCTAAGTATTGATTAGTTCTAACTGGTATATATTCAGGAAATTCAAATTTGGTGTATACTATTATTCGAAAACGTCAAGTATTTTATCAGCTGGCAAATCTTTCTTCTGATTCAGCGTATATCATGAAAATGCTACAGGGGCGCAAAGGACGTAAAAGTGGTGTGGT